ATAACTTTGTTTGAAATGTCCGATCGCTTTGACATCTCCCGTTAGTTATGAACTGAATTGCATGAAATTCAATATGGGCATAGCTTTAGCCATATAATACGCAATGCCAAAAGTTGAATCGAATCGATTCAAAATTCACAGTGCCCTTTTCGCATCTCGACCATTTATAAACCGAATTGCAAACTTTTTTACTTATAAAAGTATTTGAATGAAATTTGATACATAGGCACTTGGAATAAAGGAAAATCAAACGCCAATTTCAAAATTTGGTTTTGCGCATGCGCAGTGCCAACTTTTTTATTTATGGAAGAATTTAAACGAAATTTGATACATAGGCACTTGGGATAAAGGAAAATCAAACGCCAATTTCAAAATTTGGTTTTGCGCATGCGCAGTGCCAACTTTTTTATTTATGGAAGAATTTAAACGAAATTTGATACATAGGCACTTGGGATAAAGGAAAATCAAACGCCAATTTCAAAATTTGGTTTTGCGCATGCGCAGTGCCAACTTTTTTATTTATGGAAGAATTTAAACGAAATTTGATACATAGGCACTTGGGATAAAGGAAAATCAAACGCCAATTTCAAAATTTGGTTTTGCGCATGCGCAGTGCCAACTTTTTTATTTATGGAAGAATTTAAACGAAATTTGATACATAGGCACTTGGGATAAAGGAAAATCAAACGCCAATTTCAAAATTTGGTTTTGCGCATGCGCAGTGCCAACTTTTTTATTTATGGAAGAATTTAAAAGAAATTTGATACATAAGCACTTCGAATAAAGGAAAATCAAACGCCAATTTCAAAATTTGGTTTTGCGCATGCGCAGTGCCAACTTTTTTATTTATGGAAGAATTTAAAACGAAATTTGATACATAGGCACTTGGGATAAAGGAAAATCAAACGCCAATTTCAAAATTTGGTTTTGCGCATGCGCAGTGCCAACTTTTTTATTTATGGAAGAATTTTAACGAAATTTGATACATAGGCACTTGGGATAAAGGAAAATCAACCGCCAGTTTCAAAATTTGGCTTTGCGCATGCGCAGTGCCAACTTTTTTATTTATGGAAGAATTTAAATGAAATGTGATACATAGGCACTTGGAATAAAGGAAAATCAGCGCCAGTTTCAAAATTTTATTTTGCGCATGCGCAGTGCCAACTTTTTTATCTATGGAACTATTTAAGTGAAATTTGATACTTAGGCGCTTGGAACAAAGGAAAATCTAACATTAGTTTTAAAATTTAGGTTTGCGCATGCGCAGTTCCAACTTTCTTATTTAGAAAAGCATTGAAATGAAATTCTTCTCATAAACTGAAATTGAAGTAGCACGTCAACAATGGATTGCCCATGTGCAAATATCTTTCATATTTGTGGGCGGATTTTTACGATTTTAACAGAAGTTGCACCTTACAAATGGGAAATGAATGCAAGTGGAAATGCGCTTTATGTAAATCGTTTACGATTACTTTTTAACTTTTTTTATCTTTGGTGTCAATATTCATGACTTTAGATAAAGATTACAATTTACAACCATTATATGATCCTTGGTGAGTAAACATTTTCTGCAGGTCAGTCGTTCTAATGGTTTCTTGTTTGTCAATACATAAACAGCGATTTTAGTTTGGTATTATTTCAAAATGCTGTTTCTAAGTGTTTCATTCTATGCTTATTTTCCAACTAGGTGCGCTGATTATTTTGTATCAGGTAATGCATTTGTGTTTGATTATGTGAGTATAGTGTAAACTATTAATTCATTATTATCTAATACCTGCACACTTGAAAATTAAGCACAAAAGTGTTCCAAATGATCAAATGTATAAACGCATGTCGTAAACTATCAGGAAAAAGTAATGGCACCACCCTGTGCACTTCACGATGTAGAATTTGCTTTACAAATTTAAATTATTGAAAATGTTTTGAACGCTTCGCATATGGCGCACTTTAGGATCAATAGCAATGCGCCTGCGTATTATCAAATTAAAGACACCTTCCGAAATATAACATCAATTACCGGCATATTCTTTTATTTTAAATTCAACAACGAACTATTTACTGAAAGAAGAATCGTTTTGTTGACCTGCTGATAATAATTTATTGCCTAGTAAACTCCTGAAAATTGTTTTGTTTCGAAAATGTGAATTTCGTGCACCATGGGAAGAGACAGTAACTTGAGTGATTGATTTTAGTTGTTATTAATTAATTTGGGGTATTTATGATTACGTGGTGTTACTGGCATGCGAAACAAGTCAATGGTATTATATTAATTGACGTGCTCAATGATTCTGGTGAGTAAAACATTTTACAGTTTAGGGGGGTTCCACTAATAGGTACTTATTAATTTTAATGTACCTATATTTTTTAATGCATTTAGCGTGTGAAAAGCGTTTGAATAAAAGATCGCCACTCTGCAGATATACTTTAAGTACACTTTACAGGTTACGTTTAATGAAAAGGTGTGTACAGCTGGACAATATTACGAAATGCGTACTGGCTGTATATCCAATCATTCTTCCACTTCTCCCAAATACAACCAGGGGGTTCTGTGTGAAAATGAGAAATGCAATACAGTCTACAATTATAAATCATATTGGAAAATCACCTACATTTTATAATATATAACAATATAAATTTGTAATATATAAAATATAATTTATAACTGGGAATGTAAAAAGGCGTTTGCAAATGACGCCACTTATGTAATCCGCGACTCTCCCTTCACCTACCGATCATGGTCGAGTACGGTACAATCGTCACTTGATGCGACACCGTTGTCTTTTCGCCTTGAGCGAACACATAACTTTGTACCCATATAATTACGAAACCATAAACCATTCCGACCATTAAGAGGTGAATATTTTGGTAATTATTAAAAAAAGTTCACCCAGTATTGAAATCTGAGATGGTTGAAAAGTGTTTTTTAATCTTTATTTAACGGGCAAAGATAACCTATCATCACCAACTAAAGAATAGCTTGTTATAAAGCATAAAATGCATAAGTAAGTAATTTGAATAGTATTCTTGTTTAATCGTACGCTATCTTGCATCGTTTCTTTAATCATGGAGCAATTTAATATGGCATCTATGTAGAAAGTGCCTAAGTTGGTCGCATATAATTTTAGCCACATTTATATGCGACGAACTTGAGGTAGTTCGCGCACCAACGCCTTTAAAAATAAAACGGTGAAGGATTTTATAAAAAAAATTAGCTAAACGAAAAAAAATAGAATACAACTAAATAAGTACGCATAAATTCTACAGCAGCGATCCGGTAAGCTCAGACACCACCCAGGGATGCGGCCCGCCGTTAGTCGGCATCGGCGGTAGGAACGGTAGACGTCGGATGTCCGAAGTGTTCAGTTAGCGAGAAACCGTTCAAATTAATTCTGTTTTTAATTAATTACAGTAGACTCTCTGTAAATCCGGCACTGCCCCAGTCCGGCACTCCACTAATCCGCCGTATTTTGACGGGCGATGTGGGGATTCAAGATAAGGCACGTTATTGAAATTTTCATTTTTTAGTTTGGTAATGCACTATAAAAATTATATTTCTTAGAAATCATTTTTGATTCTATAATACATTTTATTAATCGTTTTGGTACACTAAAACATCTGTTTCAGTGTGTTTATTTATGAACTCCCGGTAATCCGGCATTTTTACTAATCCGTCAGTATCCTGGTCCGGTATATGCCGGATTACTGACAGTCTACTGTACTCCTTCCTCCGATATCGGAAAAATATGGGAAAATATGGGAGGAATTCCTGTTTCTTAAGCGCGTTTCTTTTGAGACTACTTTGAACGCCGTCTGCGGGTGTTTTCAACAACTCAATACGGCGCGTTCAAACTTCAATGTGCAGTAATCCAATTAACACCTTGGCCTACGTGGAATTCTTCCGACACAACGACTACTGATGTAGTCCCCTACACACATTCACGCTGCATTGTGTAAACACCTCGATTTGAAACTACTTATATCCTTGTTTTCACTTTCTATTGGAATCTAAATTCGGTCGTTAATTACGCAAGAAAGCCGAATTCGTAAATATGAATTCGGTTTCTTCCTCCCTGGCAAAAGTGCTTTCAGAGACTGTAAAAACAATTTAAATATTCCTATTAGAGCGGTTGGAAACCTGATAAATTCACTACAAAACTTCCGTGCGTGGTCGACAGTAAAACAAAAAAGAAGACAGAGAACTCATTCCTCGAGTCCTAGAGCAATTAAGTAAATTCCGAAACTACAATTTTTTGTAACGAAGAGGACAGCTTAAAACGCTTCTAGATGCCGGGGTGTTCAGCAATGCTGGTCGACTTCACAAATACACAAATATACGGTGCGGAGTTCACAACTCCTATTATAAACAAGCACACACACGAACCACTTTCTTTTTAAAGATGCAAATTTTCGACGTACTATAATAAAACACTGGTCTTATCACGTAATAAAAATGTTATCAATTATTTTCTTATCCAAACCTAATTTACTTTTTTATTTTTCCCACGAAGGAGAATTATATACGAAAAGAAAGCACTTGCACCTTTATCATCTTACAATATCTTTGTAACGGAAGCTTGTTAAATTTTGCAAGTTTTGTGGATTTCAAAATTATATTCGGGTAGAAATGCGTATCGATGATTCAGATTTCTGTGAAGTTGTAATGTTCATTAAAATTAATAAACATTTTTTTTTCGATGTAATTAAGTTTCAAATATCGTGAAATATAAGATGAGTTATTGGTTTTGGACTTCCTATTTTGGGCGAGTTAACGATTAGTACGTGATTTAAAAAAGGTCACCGGTTAAAAGACGCAATAGATTCTAAGAAAAATATGTAATAAAACAGCGAGGCTAAAAAATTATGAGTTTGTTTATTTCCGGAAACTTGATGGGAGCGTTAATTACGGGCGTTGGTTTACTCGCGATATAAAAACCAAAATGATCAGAAATTTGGAGCTTTTTGCGTAGATATTCACGCGGAGCGTGGTACCGCCGCGGAAAACGCGGCCACCACTTATAAAGTTTTTTCGTAGATATTCGCACGGGCGAGTGTCATCGCGGAAACGGGCCATTTAAGTAAAAAGGCCCAAACCAAATAAAATTTGTTGCGCGTATTAATTTAAAATCGTATTTTTTAACCAAGAACAAGTTGGTCGTTCTGGAATAGTGAATTGTTCGGAAAATATTAATCATTGAGTAACTGCAGTTTAGTTTAACGTGCGATTGAAAGACTTCCGTTCAGAAATTATACCTAAAGTACGAAAAGCGCGCTAAGAAATTGTTGTTCAATTGGGATTACGCGATTGGATTTAATAGGCGAAGATTGAGAATAATCTAAATCATGCTCCACTACAATACCCACCATCTAAAAAGGGGAAGAATACTACTGTCTAAATTGTAAGTTATTTTTATGAAAAGTTATTTACCTAGAAATTTATTCATATAAAATTTTTATTTTGTCATTTTATAATTGTTTTTGCCGAATGGTTTTATATAGATAGGATAAATATAAGTTAGAAGTTAGAAGAATATTCATTGCTGTAGGTATTTAATTAAGTGTTATATTAAGTAAATTTAAATATTATTCAGATTCAGGATAGATGTAAGTAATTGAGTAATTAAGATTTAATATAAAAAAGGAAATCAATTGTGAGTGCAGTGGAATTTGGATTTATTTTATTTTTTTCAATATAATCGGTTTATTTATGTAGATTTATTTTTTATCAATTAGAAACGTGAGACGGTAATAGTAGGGCTATTACATCTTATCAAATTAGATAAAAGCAATAATTTTGCATTTTTATCAAATAATGACCTATATTCACTTTCAAACACGAACCATCCATAGCGGAATCACTCTGGCTCTTAGAAAATAAAACAATTACACATACCTACTAAAATTATGCGTGGTATTACAGTGTTATAGAGGTATTTAATTTTTTGTAAATCGTTTCTTTACAGTTTGAAATCAGTTTTATGAGTTTTAATTCATTTTTCCATACTATGATCATCAGGGACATCATCAACCATCTCTAGGAAATTATTTAATGCTTTCCTTGTAGAGCGGTGAATAAAATTATTGGGATCTTCATCATCTAAAAGGAAAAAGGACTCTAATAGAGTGTTGGGCTGTCTCCAATTCAACACAAGTTTGTATCCATTTTAACAACATCCAATGCGCCTGTCTACCGTGCTACATACGGGCATTGTTAATAGCGCTCCTACAAGTATTCCCGCAGTCACGATATTCTTACCATCTGAAGCCCACTCTCTCGGTAATTGAGATGGATTCACGAACCTTATTACCAAGTCTGTTCGTGGTTTTACGTTCTGTTAATAGGGAATATGCATGTGGTTTAAATTTACCTGATTCTTTCTCCAGTGAATATTTATTGTCCTGACATTATACTTAAACCATTAGTTTCTTATTTAGTTGGTTTTTAATTGCTAAAAATGTTAATTCAAAAGTGCAAAATAAGCGAATGAAATTCAAATTTGCGAAACGCTGCACTATTAGACGAATGAAAGTGACGTCAAATGCCACGCGATCGCCAAGGTTGGTATATTACAGGTTGCCTCGTAACTGTCGACCAATAGCAATCGAGGCGCGAATACGTCACTGGTATCCCACGATTTAAACGATCATGCAGCAATGCTATTGTTTACAGTTCTTTCATGATGTTTCAATCTTTTAACTAGCGAAACACAAATATTCAGTTTTATATTTTAAAATTTAGTAAATATAAATCGTTATATAATACAGCCTTCGTCTGATGTACCAGCGTTGAGTGAAACAGCTTCATCTAACAATCCATCGCGTGGTCACATTTTTCTTCCAATTCTCTTAACGTAGTTTATATCGTTTCTACACTTACTTTTGGATTTGTAGATGAGATAGGCGATATCAACGAGACCATATGATTCTCCTGCTTCGGTCAGTTTTAAACACGTTCATCTTCTGCCGGCCGTCAAGCACTAAATAAGATGTGAGTTCCGTCAAAAAATTTGACCGGTGTCTTATTTTTCCCTAAAACATCATTTTCATTTTTAAGCTCTGTAGCCTTTTCCAAAGGAAATGTCCACATACTGGCAGCTGGCAGCTTTCCGTTTGTCAAAGAATTCCGGAACCCTTTTAATAATATTTCTAGGTTCTTAATGCACAGGTATTAGGAGGTTCAGTATTTATAACCTTACGCGTATGTCACAATGACAAGATAACGAAATTTGAGTGGCTACCAGTGACGTCACTAGCAGACGACTGGATCCCCATTATTGCAGTTACGAGGCAACCTGTAATATACTAACCTTGCGCGATCGCATTTGTTGTGTCAATATTCATAAGTACTTAGTGCAGTCAAATTACAGTTTGGGCAGATTGGGCTGGGTGTTCACTCAACGAAATCAAGTGTCTTCTATGTAAAAAGATCGGCTGAATCCGAAAATCATAGTCCCCCTAGCCGAAATCTCCCGGAATGTATTGTTATGTATAAACAAAAAACGAAGAAAAAACGGCAAGATGTCGTTTCTTTTCGCATTTGACTTCAATTATCTCGTTAACTTTACTCTAAGGGAAAAAATGAAGAGAAATGAATTGGTTTAGAATTGAATTTTCTATAAGATACAGTGGGTATGAAACGTTCATTTTCTAATGTTATTGTTTTTTATGGAAAAATATAAAAAAGCAATCCCGAAGATGATCAATTGGTTATTACTAGGGAATGCAATACCAGGACCGCGGGATCCCGAAATACCGGGATCTCCCAGCATTTTGCGGGATTAATCCCGCACATAAATGGGGCGGGATCCCGCGGGATTTGCGAGACTGAGGAATTTGTCGACCAAATTAAAAATGTACTATGATTTTTTAGGCACTTTAGAAGTTCACCTTTTTGTGCTGTATAGGTGAGATTTTTTTGAGTTCTAAGCTAGGCTGAAGGTAGTTTTTTGTTCAATATTGTGATAATAAGCGATTTATTTTAATACTGAAGTTAACTGCACAAAACAGCTTATTTGCCAATTTATTTAAAATTTTGCGGGATTCCGCAAATACCGGGATCTCTCTTTAAAAATGGGATGAGTAGTGCGCCTTTTGTTTAAAACAATTTACTGTAATATAGTCTTCTTCCCTTAACAAAAGATAACTATAAATGCATTCATGTCTAACAACTGCGAAAATATAGCGGATAATCGCCGCTGCAAGCAACACAATCGCTTGGAGGAAAACCCTCAAACGTACTACCAAGCGATGATTGCTGAGTCGCGGCCGCTAATGCCAGCCGCTTCGAGGAAAACGGCACCTTTAAGAATCCGAAGTCAAAAGCTGATTTCTCCTGAACTCGGTTTTGGACGTATTTTTTTAAATGTAGGTCTTTCCGAGAGCTTTCCATTCCCCTATTATAGATTTACATGTCTTGTATTTTGGAAATCAACGGCACAATTGTTGAAAAAGGTTGTTTTAGGGTTCACTAACTGTAAAAAAATTGAGAAAATGAGAACGCTCTGGGAGTCGTCCTTTTGGAACTGCAAAATACACTTTATCGGGAATATTTCTAATAGTGTTTTTGCACTTTTGTCAAAGGCAATAGCTATGAAATGGTTTTTTAGCTTTTTCCATGGTCTGAATAGCTATTACAACTGAAAATCTGTTTAAATAAATCAACAGTAAAAGTAAACAAATACTGGTCGTGGCTTGTGACGTCATTTCAAGGCCCACTGAAAATGTGGCGGCGTTTAAACACACCGAATAAAGTCAACGTTTTAAATATTATTTTACAAGTTAAATTGAATTGTTCTACCAGTGTTTACACTTTTTACTATGTTAGAACAATGTAAAAAAGCGATTAAAAAATTTAAAAAATTACATGCATATTCCCTATTGGGAGGTCCACTCTTTTGGAAATATTTTCATAGGGCATAGAAGAACAACAACTTTTTGTAACAGCGTTATTTCATTGCACTGCACAAAAATGCACGTTAAGATTATCATCATTAGCAGTGTTATCAATTAATCTAGTGTCAAATCTATAAATGTAACTTATACCTACAAGTAACTGGAACCTCCAGTAGGCCGTAAATCCCTTGTAGGGAATTATTTTTCATTGGTCCAAAGATTTGGTTGGGTTAAATTATGAAATTCTTGTAAAAATGTACAAAATATGTTTTTCCAGCAAGAAGGTGTCCATGGTCATAACGCCAATATTAGTAAATATTGTTTGAACGAAATACTTTTCGGAGATTAAATGGAAAATTGTATCTATTCTGAACCAATTAGCTAATATAGTCGATCCGTTATTACTATTCCGATATCTAATTAAAATGAATTTGTATCGGGCTCAGGCATTAAGCATCCGATTCGATAAAATTTTTAGAACTGCAGTTTAATTGCATCAGGTAGGCGTAAACAACATTACTGAAACAAAACTGGATGCAAGCGAAATTCACCTTTATTAACATTCTTTGACGTAGGCGATATGACCCAGAATCGCTTAACCGTTGCGGTACCGTATTTTGTTCATTCTTATTCTGCACGTCAACAATAACGCGATGCAGTTTGTTTAATAGAATTGTTTGTTTAATCGACGACGTGAGGTAAAAAAAGTTAATTCTGCATTTAGTGGGGTTAATTACATATCGGAATAGTAATAACGGATCGACTATAGTCAATTGTTAGATATTACGTATGTTAGTTACTTTATTTAATTACGAGTACATTTGAATTGATAATCCTCTATTCATATAATGTAGATAATGCTTATTTGTTAAACTATACATAACATGCATGTTGTATAACGAGTGGGAGAATGAAATATGATCTGAAGGAGTATAAATAAAACATTTGCGGTTAATTTTTGTCCGGAATTATATCATTTTGTTGAATAATATTTAATTTATGAAACCATATCCATATTGGTACCCATCCCGGCGCGCGCTAGAAAAGAAAGGTTGGTGTGTGCCCATCAAATAATGATCAATGGGGTAAGTGCAGGCCCTTCTCTTTTAGGTAACATGTCTATATCACCATTCTTTCGCAAAGGTGCGATACAAAGTTATAAATTGGTCAAGAACAAAACTGTTAATTTTTCATGTATAAATAATGTAAACACTATTTTCGGTAGTATTTCAGAAGAGTAATTTGTTAATGAAGAAACGCGTTTTTTGTGTGTAAACGGTTGTCCTTTGGCAATGTTCCGATTTCGGAGCCATACTTAACCAGATGGTTGTATCTTTATATACTCCCATTATTATCAATACAATCTTAATCCTCTTTTTTCAAAATTCCACCTTATCGCTAATCGCAAATAAAAAATAATGGGGAAATAGAGCCCGCATGATCCTCGTTTTGAAGATAAAATTCATTGATTACTTCCCAAACAAATAATAATTGCATAAAAAGCAGGTATATTAGTATAAAAATGGAGTAGTCAGTTACCTGCAGCAGAAATTGTATTGGATAATTGTACAGTACAGTTAACATCGAATTTTAGCTTCGCCGATTGAACTAAAACGCTGTCTGCGATGCCCCAAAAGCGCTTGTGAATTTACAAGACAATAATGTGCAGTACACAATCCCCTTTTTTATAAGATTAAAAAAAATTAAATGCCCACGGGAAGATTTTTTATTCAGTATAGATTTTGGTGCTTAGTATAGATATTAATAAATATAAAAGGAGCTCTTTGTTCTTGACATTGTTCTCATATAATGTCGATTTATAAAGTTAATGTGAAATTTTCTTTTTTTTGTAGAGTAAATGGGGACCAAGGAGCCTATGCATCGTAGCACTAACCCTACTTTCTTTATACAACATATTCCTAACTGCGAAACTGATGTATGGTCAAGAGTGTCTGAAAAGTGTTCAGGTGCGGCAAACGAAGGTTGTGCAAGCAGTTCGGCCCCCACCTCCACCCCCAATATGCAGAATAGAGCAACAGGTAACCGCCGACGAGTTTCAAGGCAACATAGAGTTAGAATTGGGCCGATGGGACAACAGAATGCTGTACAAGCTATACGATCGGATATTTGTAGGTGATAAATACGCACAGCTAAGTGAAGAGCATCTGGTTTGTTTAGCAACACAAAGTTCTCTGGAACGATTGTTTTCGTTAGTGCAGGTTACAAGAAACTGGTCCGGTCCGATATCAGCAGCTCTGTTCGCGGCCGGCGACGACGAGTTCAATCTTTTGCTGTCCTACATTGCGTACATCCGACGATGCTTCCCGGATATACGGGAACGTGTCACGTTTCACTTGACGCTGCCTAAAAGTAGACTTCCAAAGGGCATCGATATTGATACTGACGTAATCAGTGGCTGGAATTGTATGAACGCCGAAAATATTCTTCGTGCACTTGTTGCGAAGCGGACAGTTGCGACTCAGAAATGGAGAACAAAGAATCCGTATCCACAAAATCACTTAAGGAATTTAGCTCGAAAAAATTGCCAAAGTCAGTACGTTTTTCTCACAGACGTCGATATAATTCCAAGCGAAGGTTTAGCAGAAGCGCTTAATTATTTTTTAAAGAAAGTAAGATGTAAAAAGTTGTGTGCCTATGTTATCCCCACGTACGAGATTGATAACCGTGTTCGATTTCCTCCCAACAAGACTGAACTAGTTAGATTAGCAAAAAAAGGCCTAGCCAGACCGTTCCACCAGAAGGTTTTCATTTACAATCAATTCGCAACAAATTTCTCGAGGTAAGTTCCGCGAAATGTTTACCAAAACTCTGAAAGTTTTACTTTAGATGGCAAGTTACGACCGGTGAAGATAAAGAGGCGCATGTTAGCCATCCAGTCACGAACTTCGAGTTCCTGTACGAACCCTTTTATGTAGCGCCTGACAGCGTGCCCCCTCACGATGAAAGATTTATCGGATACGGATACACAAGGAATACACAGGTACACAACCTTCAGTTTGTTTGACGACAAAGAAATCCTTTTAAGCTCTATTTACTGTATAAGCGTGCCTCGAATGTGTTGAACCTGCTCAAACAATTTACTCGAGTTGTGTTTATTTTAGCAAATAGAGGATCTTGCCATCTATTAAAATGACTGCAGAAAACCACTTCGATACTTTATACATACTGGGTCGCTATCTAATTCAAGAATCAGAGACTCATATTTCAGCCAAGTTCAATTAAAATATGACAAACGGCACTCATCAATGGCGTCAATAGTTTTTTCTCAATAGGTCATTTAAATAAGCCCTAGAATTGCTTGTCTGTAAGAAATGACACTACTGTGTGATTTTGTCAAATTCGTTCATCACACAATTTTAGATTTAAAAGTTTAGAATTGTAATTATCCTTTGACGCGATTTATCAGCCGAAGGGGGGTGGGGGGAGGGGGCTGGATCTATATCCCCTCCCGGACGTGACTTTCTAAAGAGGACCGTTATCTTGAATCTCTTCAACAATTCACCTCCTTCCAAACCGTACACATCAGCCCATCCCAAACCAAGTTCTTGGCTACGCCACTGCGGTTGATAATTACTTTTCATTATACAAAATGTAGTCAGTTTGGCGTAGCGGTTTAAGAGTCGAGCTCTAACCTCACAGGTTGTGAGTTCGAATCCCACAACTTGTCAGTTTTTAGTGGCACAGAACATCTCCTGACTACCATGCTTCGGAGGGCATGTAAAGCTGGCGGTCCCGGCAGTCATACCACGACTGTCGTTAAGTCACACAGACGGCTGTTGATGCGACCTGAAAACGTCTGTGCCACTCATACGATACAATACGATTATACACAATACTGTAATGTCTCTTTGCTCTTGTGGAAATAAGAATTTGGACCCATACGCGGAAACAGACGGATAGTGAAACACGGATGCGGGTGGTGATGTTACATTTATAAGGTCAAATGAATATGCGAGATTAGGATCAACGAAGCTTGGTGGTTGGGGTCCAAAGGGTACACGCAGTCATCAGTTAATTTTAAGTTAAAGAAATTAGAATAAAACAAAAGAAACAAAGAATGAGTGGAAATGTGTGTGCGAGGGTGGAGGGTCAGTTTCCTGGCCCGGGTGGCAAGTAATAGTGAATGGGCGAGAAAAGTCGAAAGACGCGTTTTGTAATTCTTAGATCCAATAAGCGACATTTAACTGACTATTTACTTTTACTTTACGTATCACTTTCTTAATAGACAACGAATATTCATAAATACACAACATAATCTTGATATGACGTTCATTGTAAAAATCAACAGATAACATGAACATGAAAATAAGAAAGAGTAACACAAATCATGCATGTTTTTTGTGCATTATGTGAACAACACGTGTTGGAATTGGCGAAAAAACACTTTCAGTAAGATGCTTCAAACTTGCACTATCTTTAAATCTACTAGAAACGTTGTTATATATAAAATACATAGAGGACACTATTTCAGAAGCACTTCTCGCTGACTCAGGAGCTGACATAGATGTCATGAAGCGTCGTGGTGGATGGAGATAATATTGACGGTATAGCTCCAGAATACGTCGAATATTCAATAAATCAATAAAAACCAAATTGTTGAAAAAATTTTTGAACGCTCACATTGGCCCTTCTGAACTAATGAACTAACACCTACTACAATTCCTGCTGCACCGTGTTCTGCATCTTCAGTAAAGAAGACGTTGCGTCAAAAAGATCATCAGAAAAAGTTCTTTTGGTAATGTTGAATTATCAAGGCTTGATGAGGGATTAAATCGAAATTAGAAAAAAATAAACAAAATTAGAATTATATTAATACTTCTACTCAATAGTTCTATAGTTCTAGTTTGGATACCCCCAGCCAGGAGAAAATGGAATTGAAAATTACTATAAAAACATTAACTAATAGAAGAAAACAAAGGAAATGATTCAAGCATGTCTTTGGTGTGCGTAGTTTGAAACAAATAAATTCTGTAAATTGCAGTGGTTCAAATTTTTACTTTCAACGAAAAACTTTACAAAGTGCGCTAGAAACCGCTGAGCTTAAACTTTAAGGGAAAAGTTTGACGTTAAAGCAAAACTATTCCATCAATATACTTAACTCGAATGTTTCCCTTTGACATTTGAAAACGCTCGCTTCCAACAAGTGAAATGGTTTTAGTAGATACGGAATTGTTTTGCAACTGTTCGGTTTTACAGCAAATTGCTCGGTAATAGTTTAAACACTATAACAAATAAAATCAAACCATTGTACACATATCATATGATAGAAATTGAGAACTAACACAGATAATTTTTTACAGGTGTACGAAATGTTCGTAGCAGGTTACGAATTTCTAGTCCTTTCGCCTGTGTTCACATGTCATTGGGGACTTCAAGATAAACGAGGACGCCCCGTGTGGAGGGAATATCAAAATAACTTACATCGAAAGTACTTTGAAACTTTTAAGAAGGAAGTATTCGCGAAATACAACAAAGATCCTTTGAGAATGATGGAGCAGCGTAAAGCACAATCGCTGTAATCAAGTGTACAATAAGTTCATAAAATATGTATTTTTAACATTGAGATTCTGACTACATCCGTTAAAAAAAAATATCAAAATGACATGCCTTATCCCGAAATTATATTTCAAAGCCTTGTAGGTACATACAAATTTATTATTTATAATATAGATTGTATTTAATTGTAGGTATATGGTGTATGCAATATTGCTCAATAATGCTACAACTAAAACGAATTTCTGTTACACTTTTAGAGATCAATTTATTTTCATTAGACATGCAAAGAATCAAAAATATGATTTTCTGTGTTAAAATGTTCATATGAAGCTAATATGTGTATTTTATTCGTGTCGTATGTGTTAGAATGTACATTCCACTGTTCCAAAAAGAGCCTAATCTGAATAAAGAAGGTTAAATTATTAGATCTTAATGGTTAATTTTCTTTCAAACTACAGTGGCACATCGAAGTTGAAAACGTGTAGTTGCCCAAAGTGTGCGAATAATAATGAAATTAAGAAGTTGGCCAGAGGCAAACAACGCTCTTATTTAGCTCAGCTCGATCCTTTCACAGTGTCGGTATATTTCAGTTTCAAAACTGCATTTTGTGAAGCATCAAAATACGCAACTCTGCCAAATTTAAACTACCTACCAGTCTCTTACAATTCCCGAAATCTTCATGGTGGTCCTCGAATTTGAATCAGCCTGTACACGTATTATACAGTTGTCTGTGCTACTATGTATCTGCAAATAACGAACTGTTCCTCAAAGTACGTCTTCTCTTGGCCATTGGTTAATAACAGCAAAGCTGCATGTAATTAACATTTGTAGTTTGGTGTAAATTGATCGGTGTAAGGTATATATTTAATTAAGAAGCAAGTAAACTATAGCATTAAACATTATAGTCCAACAGCCACATACAGAAAACCTTTCTCCTTCTTCTCTTTCTTCCGAGACAGTTATTTAGAGCATTTCAGCCAGAATACCACAAATGGCTGGAACATTCCGAGTTTAAATTCAATTAGTGCGAATGTTATGCTAATAATCAGGTTTATTTGCCAAAATACAAGGTGTTCCCGCAACAGTAATCAAATTTGTAAAGTGAACTGTAATTATAAAATCGCGCAAACATGTAAATCCACTTATTTACATGGACTTTTGCAGTTGGGATCCTCTTTTTTAAATACAATTTTCCATCACCTTAACCAAACAGCGTTAGATATACAGGCTGTTTCACGCAAACCGTTACGTAACTGACTCCCACTAATATTGAAATCTGAAAATTTGCATTATGGATAGCAACTTTCTTATTTTAAATAGAACACCCTGTATTTTATGGCATTTTCGAAATCTACATGAAAAAATGCCTTAAACTGCAACTTGCTAATCTCAAGGCAATGTTCCTTCTGTCCACATACTTGCCGCTATTAGATCTCTGCCTTGGAGTGCTTTAAGTCTACTCCCACAAGATTCTAAGAACGTGTGAAGCGCTACAACCAGTGTTGGAGACCTCATAGAGGATACTGTCCATTCGTATGTTTGCTTGGTAATTATAGGATTAGGTATTGATTGATGGAGACGGTTATCTGCCATACGGTATCTATTAAACAAAATACGAAGGATCGCATGATTTTCAATAGGGGATTTTTTTGACACTCAGCTCGCATTGTGAAATCTGGCTCATATTCAATAGCTGTTTCTTTTCGTTCTTAAGTTAGACGGGGAACAGACGGATGGACAAAACCATAACATTTCTTTCAAAAAATTCCCCTCAAAATGAAAGAGATTAGCGAAGCTAACTTTAAACTGATTACTACTTATTAAACTACTTACTATTAAAAAAATTAAGAGTAGCTCATCTACATTTACTTTCATACGTAGATACGATCTTTATTATAATAGTTCCGGATTCGCTTGTTAATGTGGACATTATCCACTCTTCCTTACCTGATTTTCCATACAGAAATTAAGAAAAGGTCTATATCTAAAGGCATAGCTGTAAATTTAATTTTAATCCATACATGGTGTTGTTTAATTAAAAAAGTAAACGTCTCGCCGTAAAAGTAAAGTCAACATCAACCATTTAAATACGGACCGACACTTTTTCATTTTTGAGTCACTTTTAATTTTCCAAAACTAATGGTGTATAACCCTTGATACTAACGATTTTCAAAAGCTACTCAAAAATTAATAAACAATATAGATCTGTATTAAAAAAAATATGAATATAAGTATAAGTGGTAGGTACTTAGGTGTCTAAGTAAAATCATTACTCATTCATCCCAAAAGTTTGGCATTTGGGTAGATATGTCAAATGTCAAGAAGGAGGATAATTGGTGCTATTTATGTAATTAAATGGCCAATGAAGAGTGTTTTAAAATACGAAGAATTTGTGCCCGAAAATGCATCATGGTCATTTTGAGCGCATGTAAATAAATTATAGTTTTGGTTTACTATTTACCGATTTGTTTGAAACGGGAGAGATCGCATTGCAGTTTTAAACATTTTTGTCGAATTTTTATTTCGTTAAACATCGGGAAATTAAATCTGTACCGCTTCTTAGAGAACGTGAACGTGAGTAGATCTGGCGATAAGGGAAGCGCGCTTTGAAGTGAAATTGGCTGGGTACTTACGATAAGTGCGAGCTCGACCGTGTTGCCAGTTCTAATAACCGTTTTGACGGAGAAGTAGGTGAGATGATACCTGAATATATATTTGTTAATTACAATGTATATAAAAATATAAATTCGCATCAACATAGAAAGACGCGTCGAAGACGCAACACGAGCTTTAAGTATATTTACATGTACGTCTATATTTAGTAGAAAGTGGTAAATCTTGTTCCACTAGTATTACGCATCAACAATAGAACAAGGTGCAGCATCAGCACTTCAACATCAATCGGCCAGTTTAGGGGAGGATATTAGATTTTTGTTTCGTTTCGTTGTCATAATCCTGCGGTAAGTTGCATGTTCATATGTGACGTCACACCAGCCTGATCAAGATAAAGGTTAGTTTGTTTACATTTTATCGCACTTAAAACTGAATTGAGTTTAAGTTTTTGGAATTGTAACCTATAACGTTTCCATCATAAATAAAGCAGACGATGTGTTTAAACAAGATTTAATCTCGAAATTTATAATAGCTAGAGACATATTTCGTATTTTATTTGCATGTATAGGTCCTGAAGCAATTGTAACTGTTTGCACCGCTTGTTATAAGCAAATTCATTTTCGACAAATAAAATGTGTCCATTAATACCATAAGTCTTCGTTGCGGGTTGTGAGACTGCTTCCTGGTGGTAGTTCATACCCTTACCCTTCTATCCGGTTGCCATCAGTTAAACCTACCTCTACGCAAAATGCAAGGTGTTCTGGTGGCAATCTTCCCTAAATTTATTAAGGAGAGCATATGAATTAAATAATCGAACCATTTATTAAATTAGGCAACTAACATTACTAATAAATCAGTTATTAAATAAGAAAAGTCGCAGAATGTCCTAAAAACCAAGGATAATACATAAATTGTGCTGCCACATCGTGTCGAATAGTGGTACTATCTCACTCTACAATTGGTTGGTGTATATACTCGTACTATTATATGATGGCTTCCATGGCCTTCTGCACATTCCTTTGCTTATTTTAACGAGATAACATAAATCAAATTACATTAAAGGCAAAATCGATTATGCACTATTATCAGGGATATGGTAATTCCTAATTTGTAATTAAAAAAATTCAAAGCATGTTTTTTTGTTTAAGTGGCCCTTATGCCCTTGGGTACTTATATAAGGGGAAAATGTTGTATGTATAAATAATACTGCTGTCGAAATTTAAAACTCCAAAATAAAATGTTTGACTGTCATTTTTTATAACACGTTACTTAAGTTTTTCTCTAATGCTTTGATGTGGCCAATTTAAAAGGATTAACATAGGGGAATTTGAAATATTTAGAACAAAAGCTGTTTGTTTTTGTCTCTTTTGTCATGCAAAGGTAGGTAATCATCACTTTCACTAATACCGTCGAATTTTTATTCAAGGAGAGTTTTCTCTTACGGCACCTGCCGTAAAGTCCCTCCCTAATATATAGTTCAAACGTTCTACAAAATTATACGTTTCCATTTTTTTAAATTTTATTTGGAACAATTAAATACCCAGGTTTTTGTTAATGATGTACTGACGCTTTTATTTTGTAAATTTCCTGCAATTAATCTTCATGATTTGTGTTGTTCGACCAAGAATTGCAGTTGAAATTCGTCTCCGATTTAGAACTAATAGTAATTTTTGCTCAACTTCATATTTTATTTTTTAGGAAATGCTAAGTCGTAGGATTGGATAAGGCAGCGTTACACAATCGTGTAAATTTTCCAAATTATGTCTTTAATTTTAGCAAGCTGTCTTATTTTCGTGAGAGACGCCCACGCAGGTGTAAATGTCATTTTATCTTAAAAAATGAGAAAGGAATGTTGAGTCGGTCATTTTCATGTAGCTCGTCTTTAGACAAAATAATCATTCTTTGTACTTAGTGGCATTATAATACGAGTACAACGTCGGATGAAGCAGTTCCCTATAATATTTTTTACAGAACTACTTAAAACGCGAAATAACGTCGCACCAAATTGAAGTTGTACTTTGGCGACATCTGGAAATAAATGACAGCACTATTGCTGCTTGCCGCTATTGTGATTTATGTAACTTTTTAGAAATGATATCTTTGAGAATGATTCCTGGAGGCAATGTTGGATTTTAAATGATAAAACTATCAATATTGAAAGAAGAAGAGCAGTTTTACAGCATTTGTACTTTAGAATTCAACAATTACTTAAAATAAAAAATACACTGTGTCGTCTTATTTTAGCAATATTTTAGTAATTACTTCTTTCCAATAAAAACTTTATATAGTCGCTCTAGAGTAATGTATGTAGAATTTATATTTTCAAAAACCACCCTACAAAATGATTGTATAAGCCCAGGAATCATTCTCATAGTTCGGTATAATTTTGTTATGAAATGTATTATGTATGAAATTTGTTAGTGGCGATCTCTATTGATTATCATGAATTGTAAGCCATCCTTAGTATTACATGGATTGGACAATATATATTAATTTAAAGATATAATTTAGGTAACGTATCGATTTTGATCTTAACGGGATATTAAAATTTGGCGATTTACCTGAGCACAACTTCGATAGATTCGGTTTCGGAACTATAGCTGGGCATCTATAAGTAACAAACGAAGGGCTTAAGGGAAATAGGATTGCCACTCGTGCATCGTTAATTGACCAAGTACTTGCAATAATGTGGAAATTGATCATTAATGAAAACACTGCATGCGTTGATAAAAAATAGTTATTTATATAACAAGAGCGCGAAGTTCAATTTCGCGCATTGAGACTGAAGGTATTTTGACGAGGCGAAGCCGAGTTAAAATATCAGTCAAATGCGCGAAATAACTTCGCGCTAGCGTTATATACAATATTTTTTCTACAACTGAACCGATTGTTAATTAAATTTGCTGTTTAAGTTCAACTTTGTCACGTGCGCGAAATACTTTTTTTCACTGTTGACGATTTCGCGCACGTTGTCAAGGGCAACCTTACTTATTAATTAACCGTTTAAAAATCTAGTACTTCGCGCTTCGAAATTCGTCAGAAAATGACAGGTTTTTTTGACAGTTGTAGAAAAAAATATTTTTTTCTTTCAACAGCATAATCAAACATCAGCAACCGTTATATAATATGGGAATCTATAAAATCTAGGTATTTATCAACTCTCGTATACACGCCTGGATATTTGGCACTTCCACATTTTCGCCCCCAAGAAACAATTCCAATTAACATTCCGTTTTGTGTTAGTGGTCCACCAGAATCGCCCTATAATTTAAAATGAAGCAATATCGTTTGAATTCACATAAGTGTAACAATTACATAACATGCGTCTTTCCCGTCTTCCGATGACCCTGCACATACCATATCATCAGTTACAGGTGTTATGGTACTATAGATATCTACGCAAACATTATCGTCAACTACTTCAATTTCGACATAATGAAGTAAGTTAGACATATCTCCATAAAGCTAGAAATGACTTTAAAATTTATTTATTCCGCTGTGTGTTACCTCCAAGCTTCCCCATCCACTAACATTTGCCTTACTTCCTGCTTCTATTACCGCGTTGGGTGTAGGTAGAGCAATGGGTGATACCATATTATTACCAATCACATCCTGTAACTGTGTGCGAGTTAGTAATACTTATTGCAGTTCATTTTTACAATTAGAACGGCGATGTCGTCAAATGGTTTGTTCGGTAGATATCCACTGTGCTTTACCACCGAACGGAGATTGACACCGGTTCCTTGATCAAGGTAAGCACTTCCCCCAAACACTGACAAATCCTCCACCTGTATTCTAAAATGGAAGTTCCTAAACGAATATTAGCGTAATTGTTACCTACGCCAAATTGTAATCGTTATAGAGACAGTGAGCTGCAGTTAGAGCCGTCTGAGCGCTAATTAAAACAGCCCCGCACTGATGAACGTTTTCATATCTAAGTGATAATTGGAAGGAAAACGTCGTCATATCTGCCGCACTACCTCCCATTATACGTTGACTTTTTATTAAATGTCCTGTAAGAATTCAATATAATATACTGTTTAATGAAATATAAGTTTGATTACCGTAAGTAAAACAGAATATGGTTACAAAAGCCAGAATGGCCACAATAAGGTTCATCATACGGCTAGGGTACATAATTGTTTCCCGCACGCTGTTGTTCCTTTTAACAAACGAATTTAATCTCAAAGGGGTTAATTGGGTAAACTTAGCGTGAATTTTGGGCACGACCTTATAAAGTATATGCTAATCAATTTATGGTAGTACTATACACAAAGATTAAGTCGCAAGTCTGCTTATATTAACTCTATCTTAATTACACCACCAATAAAATAATTATGAAAAAAACAACGACACGTAAAGTCAACATCTGAAGGTGTAAAGTAAACGTCAAGCGAATATAAAATTTCAATATCCTACGTAATTTCCGAAAAATTTTACTCCTTTTCAATTAGGTTTTTTTTTGAATGGGTATATCATAAGTTACCGATGTATGTTCTATTAAGGTATCCAACTCGATGTCCATAAAAGGGACAGCCGACTATAAAAATGCGACATTTGATAAAAAGATTACTACACGACAAAAACGTACCAGGAGGTGGGCTGTGAGAATATCAGTCGTGATTCGTGAAGGAATAAATTTTGACTTGAAATAGAAAGCTGTTCCATATACAAAAATAACACACGTTATCCTGATTATCAATGCTGCTCCCACTCCGGAGATTATACTTATATTGTGGGTTAATTCAAAGGTGTATGTCTAGTACAGTAGCCGCTTTAAATTATGAGGTTAAAATTAAATTTCTGTCGGTGAAAAAATAACTGAGTATCTACTGAATAACATATCAAAGAGTGCATTTTCGAAAATTACCGCTAATGTAAATCTATTAAAAACGATTGATCATACGCCAAAGCGTCAACTGATTTACTTGCGCTATATTATATTTATTATTAGTTACATTTCGATCAACCTATTATACATTAAGGGTTATAGTTTTCATTGAAATAGAAAAGTCGTGATAAATGAATTTATTTTTCATTTGCCTATTATATGCCAATTGTATCTGTCATATGAGATATATAAAGCAGTCTATGATGCCCGAGGGCATAATGAGAGGGTATAATGGATTGTCATTTCATTATGCCCTCGAACGGCCTGTCAAATACATTGACGGGAGTTATATTATGCAATAAAAAAGATGTTACTTGATATAAAGTTGGCAAACAATAATCATTACATTTGTAAATTGGAAATGCATTATTTGGAACGATGAAAAATAAAATTTTGTATGCACCTCAGGCATTACTTGCTATTTAACCCTCGGGCTCTGTCGCCCTCGGCATAAATATCGCCTTAATGCCCTTGATACATAAATAACTATTGTAATGAGTTGATCGAAAGGTAACTGGACTTACTGCGGCAAGCTTATGGCTGGAGTGAATCTTGAGGCGTCAACAAGATTGCCCGATGGCGTGACTCACGTCCAGTTTCTAATTTGTGATAGTTGTTATACCACCTATTCAGTTTGATTCTCCTTCAATACAAAGTTGACAAGTTTGAGGGTTCAAATTACCTTTTAAAACGGCAGTTGGTGCAATTATGAATTCTCCAGTTTTAGGACATCCATAAACCGATGGCGAAAACCTAACTACTCTTCTAAACTTCTTACTCCCGTATTTCGACTGCTTAAACTGTTAGAAACATACGCCACTGCTCTTATAAAAGTTTTACGAAACCGACTTTCCGAAAATCGGCCTCAGGACTCAAATTAACGTTCCTTGAAAATGTAGTTTTTTTAATGATTTTTTTTCAAGAAACCACTGGCGATTTGTTCGTTTCAGTTTGTTTTATCATTAGATTAAGCCACTGGCAGTTTCAGTAGCAATGGTAATATAATCAAGGTAAGCAAACAAAATGGTTCTAAAACATGACCAAGAATACGATCAAGTAACCTTTGGAAAGTTGGAGGAGAATTATATAAACCGAAAGGCATAGGAGTGAATGAAACAAACCGCGTCCAGGTACACAGGTACAGTGAAAGCAGAAGTGGGTCAAGAATCAGAGGCTAAAAGTGTTTGCTAGTATGTAGAACGAATGTCAAATATTTAGCGTCTTTTATACAATCTAAAATGGAACTAACGTATGGTAAAGGATATGCGTCTTTCTGAGTGAACTTTTCTATAGTGAACGCAAAACCGATAGGAATTATTTCTCTTCTTAACCAACACTATTGGACTAGACCAAGCACTAATGGAGGTTTCAACTACACCTAAGTCTAGCATCTAACATCTAATTCCATTTTGCCAACTTCTAGTAAAGTAGGAGAAAGAGGATAATATCGTTGTTTAATATATTGATTCATAAGTAGTTATAGTTATATGTTCAATCAAGTTAGTACAGCCCAAAGGTGCAGAATTATCAACATATTTAGTAAGAAGGTCTTGAAGTACTTTTTCTCATAAGAAGAATAAGAGTTCAGTGGATGGAATACTAATTTCACGAGATTTCGCTACTAAATGACCAAGTACCACTACGAAAATCAGGTACGAAATTAATTAAGTACCAAAAGTCTATGCCTAAAATAAGGGGTTGAGGAACATTAGGCATCGCTAACAGTCAGGGTCTAAATAACTTGTCCAGAAATAGAGACAGAATTTCCATCATCTAAAATGCACGAAGCAGGTTTACTGCGAGAAAGTTGGGAACGTTCCAGCCAGGACCACCTAAAATATTGCGTGAAGCACCATAATAAGCTTTAAACGTATAACCAATAGTAATCTCCTCGGACGTACTCGCGTTGCGGGGCAGGAAAATTTAGGCACACTAGGTTTCCCACACGAGTAACAATGCCAATTTGCGGCATTGTGGTGAAATATGGTCAAGTTGACTACAATTCCAGCATTTAACAGTTTTCTGAGAAGTAGTAGATGAAAAATTCGTAGGTCTAGACTGAGTTGATGTCAAGTTAGCCTGGGAATAATTGATTTCTTGGATGAAGCAGAGTCATTGTCTGTAGAAAGCAAGTACACTAAACTGGGTTCTAATAGTTTAACTGTCTTCTTGGAAGGTGGAGGGTTAAGAAGGTTAATAAAGTATTTGTTTTATTCAATTTTGTTCAATCAAAGGGTCAGCTATCGTCGTTGGTGTCCCATTCACAATCTCAAGCAAATGTTCATCATAGTCAACAGTTGAGGTCAAAAGTATTATGATTGGCGGTAAGCGAAAGAGGGGTCGCCCATCAAAAGTAAAGAAGGATTGAGCAGTGAATTCTTATATATATTGTAAAACACTAATAACAAGAATAAAACTTGATTGTAATGTATAGCATGTTTTAAGATACTGAATATGTTATTACAATTTACTGCACAACAACACATGCTTTTTTAATACTTAAATTACCATATTACACTGCCCAAAGAAATAATACCCTCTCATAGTCTACAGAAAAATTCGCTGCCATTATTTACGTTGTGAAATATTTTTCTGAATAGTAGTAGTCCCTAATAATGCTATAATTATAAAAGTGGAAGCAAATAAATTAGCGTACTCTTGCAAATTGAACTAGTTTTACTGTTACAAACACCATGGATCTTGATGCAGGAGGTATAATTCCACTCAAATGCAATTCACCTACTCGTTGATAAGCGTACGCCTGCATTAACCCATATTTCTAATAGAAAATTTTCAAAGCAAGAATAAGTGCCAGTACAAAACATTTCTTGTTACATACGCTACCTACTTGAAAGCTAGTTTCTATGGTCGGAATACGAACACGTTTCAGATTTCGCAGTTCTTTGTGCTAATGTCAATCTTTGTTGGCGTTTTTGCATTCATCAAGTTTACGAGAAAGCTACGAATAAGAAATTTCACTGAAATGTGCTTATTTATAACAATCCCTTGACAGGCAGACATTTTCTCAGAGGAAAAAAGAATATTACTAGCATCTCTATACGACTTTAGCAATATACCTTCTCTCTATAAAATTAGAAAAGCTTATTTCAACCACCCGCGGGAGAAATGTTTGATTGACCTCCCAATTTAAGGCACGAGGCTATAAATCCCTAATTGCTATAATATATAGTATCAAAACCACTCACAAACGGGGGCAAAGAGCTTTGAAGTTTTTACAAATGAGTAGCCTGCAGTTTCTCTTTTTGTGTATATGTTGGGAATGACAACTATGAAATTGAATATTGGAAAATAACATTTCACGCAAAGGGCATACGTTTAATTACCTACGTTTAGGTAAAATACATTACGTTTCAATGCGCTTAAACGGTCAAAAAGTAGAAAATCAGATAAACTTTATCAATTCACATTTCACTTATGACTCCTTAATGCGTTCAAAGCGAGTTCGGTACAGCGGAAGTTTTGGTGTTTATACGCCTGTATAGCGCGGCGGCAACGAACCCTGAATAAGAAGGTAATTAACTAAGGGCTTAGAAATATGATAGTAAATAAAGGGAGCAAACTATTAGCGGGTTTAGACAAATACAAATGGGATTAGCATTGGTTTGTGATTCAAATCTGCCTGTCTACATGAACAGTTTTGGAGGCGACACCTGCTACCCAACTTGACGTACAGCCGCGGTTGTTCTCTTTCTGCCAGAACGCCTAGCCAATCTTTTAAAGTCAACAAACATATTATTTAGAGTAAAATTGAAACACGTATGAATTATTTTCACGTTTTTCAATTTTCTGAGTTAAATTTCATTTTCATCGACAAATATGCATCGTACTATGTTTACAGGGCAAAAAAAAAGCAGTGCAAACATAAAAATGAAACCGCATTTCAAGCACTAGTGTTTCATGCGTTGTCAAATTTGCATTTTCAATAAATTTCAGAGATTTAATTTTAATTTCGTCTAGTCACTGACTATGAGATGCTCTCAAGTCTCAACCCACAAGCGATGAGTTTTCGTTACAATGTGCCCGATTATAAAAATTTGCAGCCACACTGCGATTTCCGTGGAGGAGCAAACTCCAGACCTCATACGTGAAATCGAACTTCCAACATGAAAACAGTTATTGTAGTTATTTTAAGTTATTGATACCAGGGACTCGATAAGTTAATCTTAATCTGTGTCCATGCATTAACACTCATGTACATTTGTCTAGTGTCACTTACTTTAATTAATTCTATGAACATATTCTGCACTACAACGTATTCGTAGATCCTTTACTCGTTATATTAGAAAAGAACATTTGTTTCTGTTAAATAGCGCATATTATTAAATTTGCCACC